CTCCCTTTCCCAGGCTCTGTGGAGTCTGGCTTCTCTCCTGGATAGCAGTTGGAAGCTTTTCTGATAAAGGAAACATCCTTCAGTGTCTGGGAGAAGCCAGTGGGATGAGAGGAGATGGGGCCTGGTCCATTGAGGAGTGTTTTCCAGTGGGTACAGAGAGGATCTGCCACTGGACGAAGATCACACAGCAGTTTGGAGAAAACGCAGGATTGGACCTAACTGCCTCTCTCCGAGGGGGGTCTTTCTTCAGCCATTCTAAGTGAAGTCATCTGGTGCCTGGGCCCAGTGGACCAGCATGGCTGCTTTTTATTGCTTGCGGGGAGGGACTTGGCAGTGCCCTGGTAGGAGGAGGCTTGCCTTTGGTTCTTTGATGTTCATTCTCTCGAACCCCTGGGGAATGCCTGAGTCATCGCTGAGCAGCAAACATATTTAGCTTCTTTCATCGTCCCTAATAAATCAACTTCTCTAGGTCTCTCATAACTGCCTCCAACTCCAGGCTGCCTGCCCCATCTCCTGTCGCCTGACATCTGGGCACTATAGAGACTTCCAGCCCCCAAGTTCCTGGCAGTGGTCCCCTTGCTGTTTCCTCTCTTTCTCCCCAGGCATTTGGGGACAGGCAAGGCCTCCTCGTGCTGGGCTGGCCTGCATTCAACAGCTGCCTTCCTGGAGCCCTTCAGAGCTTCCTGCAGCTAGGAGCTGCCTGGCATAGATACAGGTATTAGTAACATCCACCACAGCTCAGCCCTGACCCTGGCCATTACCCCAGCCCACGGGGGCTTGTGTTGGGCCCAGGGAAGTTCCCCAAACACCTTACCTCATCATGTCTCTTACAGGTCAGATTGGTTGGAGGACCCCAGCCTTTACTGGGCACCTCTCCCAGGAAGCTTCCTGATTGCCTCCTTCCCCTCTTTAGTGAGCCTCTCCTCTCCCAACCAGGAGCTCTTTGTCTCTCTGTGGCAGCATGTAGGCAGTGTGCCTTGTGAGGATAATGTAATAAACAGCGTGTAATATAACCCCAAGGAGCTGAACACCATTCTCTTCAGCTTTCTCTCTCTCTCTCACTCTCTGTGTGTGTGTGTGTGTGTGTGTGTGTGTGTGTGTGTGCGAGTATGCATGTGTGTGTATATTCTCACATATATGCATGTATGTGTGTCTCAGCATATAAACAGGGGTCAGAGGACAACTTTCAGGATTTGGTCTGTCCTACAGTGTGGGTCCCTGGGATCTAACTCAGATCCTCAGGCTCGGTGGCAAGTGCTTTTACCCACTAAGCCATATTGCTGGCTCCACTGACCTAAGCATTTCATATATACTTAGTTATTCCCATTTCACAGGTGGGAGTCCAAGGCTCCGAATGCTGAAGAAATTGCTTAAGACATGAAGAGAACCAGCCGTTGAACCCAGGCCTCCTGAGTGGCTCTCATGGCTGCCCCTGCAGCCTCTCACAGTGACATTTGGAGACCTGCTGTAACCTGCTCCCACCACTAGGGACTAGGGCAGGAGTTGCACTGGGCCCATGCCTGAGACCACCTTGCCTGTAGACATCTCCACTAAATATTAATGCCATTAAAAGTATTCTCAGGAGGGAAAATCTAATCCAAAGAGGTGGCAGCTTGTTCTGAGATGCACAGCCAGGAGGATGGTGGGAGAGGCAGGAGTGTGTGGTCCCTGTGAGGGAGGAGGCCCTTCTAGTGCTGCTTAAGGCCACAGGCCCTAGTGGTCCAGGTACCTCCCCACCCATGATGCCCATACCAGATTCTGTTGGGGGGGGGGGCGCGGCCAGGCTGCAGAGGAAGGTGCTCATCAGTGTGTGGTGAGCGCCCCTTGCTGGCCAGATTTAGTACTACAGAGAAGCAGAAAGGTGAAAGCTGCCCACCCCTGGGAGATCAGAGGGACCTCCCAATGTATGGAAGAGTTGTGGTCCTGGGCCCTCTGCTGTCCCTCAAAATATCTGTCTTCTTAGTCTCACAGTCTCAGAGGCAGCCAGACCTTGGAACCTATTGGTGCTGAGGCCCAGAGTTTTGTGCAGGTTGTTTTTGTTTTTAATCAGGTAATAACAATTATTATGAAACCCCTGTATGCCAGGTGCTCAGCAAGTGCACAGTCAGACATTCATGGACCTCACAGTCTGGTGGGATGTTGTGACTGTGCAACACAGGCCTGGCTGCCTATCCGAGGCACCCCCCTCCTGGACTGTTCATCAGCCCAGCCCAGTCCCCTGCACATGCCAGCCTGGGCTGGTCTCACTTGTCTCTCCCATTAAAATGGAGGTTTATTTTGAGACAGGGTTTCTCTGTGTAGCTTTGAAGCCTGTCCTGGAACTATCTGTGTAGACCAGGCTGGTCTCAAATTCACAGAGATCCACCTACTTCTGCCTCACGAGTGCTGGGATTAAAGGTGCATGCCACCACCACAAAATAAATGGTGTGTGTGTGTGTGTGTGTGTGTGTGTGTGTGTGTGTGTGTGTGGACATAGTCTCATTATGTAGTTCTGGCTACACTGAAACTTGCTATGTAGATCAGGTTGGTCTTGAACTACAGAAACCCACCTGTTTCTGTCTTCCTGGTTCTGAGACTAAAGGTATGCACCACTACACTCAGCATGCTATTTTTTTCTTTTAGAACTTACTTTTATTATTTATGTGTTTGTGTGTGTTTGTGCATGTGCAGGTATGTGTACACATACTTGGGTATGTGTGCGTTTACTGTGCACCTGTAGAGGTCAGAAGAAGAGGTTGGGTCCCCCGAGTTATGGGAGGTGTGAGCTACCTGATGTGGGTTCTGGGAACCAGACTTGGGTCCTCTGGGGAGCACCAAGTGCTCTTAACTGCTGAGCCATCTCTCCAGCCCCCAGACCTGAACTTGTTTTGAGGACAAGGATGTGACTATGGTCACAGGGTTCTTTGGACCCCTGGCTCTGTTACAGAGATCTTGGTATACAGTAAGTACTCAGTACATGGGCTGAAAGAAGGGAAGAATAGGTGAGCTGAGCTAGCTCAGCCACAAGGATCTTCAAGAAAGACCCTAATGGTGATTATTGGCAGGGGGCTTGGTGAGGGAGGCAGGAGGTGGTCTTAGGACTCTGGAGCACTGCACCATGAGCCCAGATGGCAGGGATTCTGGCTTGGCCTGCCAGTGCCTGGAATAGGGCCTGGAACAGCAGAGACCTGGCACAGTGGGGACACTTTAAACACATCTGTGGGAAGACAGCCAGAAAAGGTTACACAATCCTGCCCACACGGGTTCCTGGGACAGTCTGTGCTTGCCTTCCTTTAGAGACAGTGGGCTCACTACCTATCTTCCATGTTAGTGGTTCTATCTGAAGATAATCCTGCCTTCTGGAAAATTCTGTCTTTCCCTGGAAATAGGAGAATCAACTTAGCCTAGCCCCTACCCCTGACTCAAAGAAGCCCAGAGAAAAGCCCAACTCCTGGGGGTATCTTCTGTCCAGGACAGTACTTCCCCCAGCATTCTAGGGACCACTGAGTGCTCACTCTTCCTGGCTGAGGGGGGAGGACCAGGGAGGGGTCAGGGATGGCAGACACAATCACAGGGCAGCTTTCTGTCCACAAGTTGGATCATGAGCTTTAGTCTTGCTTCTAAGTGTCAGAACAGGAAATAAACTGATGCCTGCCCCACCTTTGTGCTGGGGAAGAAGCTGAGGACCAGAAAGGGCTGGGGAAAAAAGTCCCACAGCCTCTGTGCACACACGCACACACACATGCCAGAGGAACACTGTAGGGTCCTTTAACCCCTAAATGGGGGCAGCTGAGGTGGGCTCAGCTCAAGTCCCCAGTTGTCCAGCAAGGGCTCTGTCTGCTGGTACCCAGCTCCCAGGTGTGTGTCCTTTCAGAGTCAGGAGTCTCACCCCTCCTACCACACTTCTCTTCCTGACCCTGTGGGAAGTGTGCACATGTGGGCTCCTGAGGAGGGTGAAGCAGCCTGGCCACCTGCTGCTCCTGCTCAGCCTGGCTCAAGGCATAAGGAGCCCCATTTCTTGCTGCCCTGCTGAGGAATCTTCCCCTGTGGTGGAGGGCACCTCAGGCAGGAGAGGAGGGTACAAGTGCTCTGGGGGAGAAGCTTCCTCCAGGTGGGGCCTCAGGGACACAGGGACCTGTTGTGTGTGGGAAGCTGGCTTTGTTCTTGCTGGAGGCAGGAACAAGAATCCATTCTGCAGCCCCTCACTACCCTAGCTTTGCTGGCCAGACATCTAGTAGTGGTGTCATGGGCCAGAGTCTGTTCAAGCATGAGTCCTATGCCACCAGCTCTGTCTCACTGTGGCCTCTGGGCAGCCCTCTTGGTGGGCATAGCCTGCAGCATTTTCTCCTCATTTCTCTCAGCTGTAGCTCAGATCTGCCAGCCACAGATGCTGCCACTTCCTCGAGGGCTTCCCCTGCGCTTCTTGTCATGTTAAAGCCTTGAGAATGGTGCCAGCAGTGTCCTCAGAACCTCCCAGCACAGTCTGTCTGGTTCAGTCACCTCGTGTGACCAAAGGCAGCTGGGCCAGGATGTTTCCTGTCCAAACTGTGCGTTTTTGTAAGACCTAGCAAAGGGCTGTGATTCAGGCTTGGAGTTGGGTGCTGCCAGGGAGGGCTGAGCCCAATCTGAGGGGCAGGATGCCTTTGAACTGGAAGCTTTCCAGAGAATCCATGGTTCTCCTACTGGGGAGGAGAAGGGAGGAGCACACTGGTAGTGGGTTCTAGGCTGGCTTATCTCCCTACCCTCACCCTAGGCTGCAGCAGTTCAGGGTGGCGCCTCAAAGGTTCTTTCTGGCAGGCAGCACTGATATTAGGGGCTTCCCTGTGAGCTCTTCGCTCTCCAAGGTACCACGTCCCTCATAGCCAGTTCCAGTGATGGGGAGGAGTAAGTTTGTGAGCAGGAACAGGTGCAGTGGCTGAGAGGCGTGTGTCCAGGTAACACAGGTCCTATGAGTTTGCCAGAGTCACCACCCAGAAGTTCATTGCTTGCTGGCAATCTTCTTTTTCCGAGCAGACAACAGATCATAGAATCTTAAAAGAACATTGCTTGCTGGCAATCTTCTTTTTCCGAGCAGACAACAGATCATAGAAGGGGACACGGGTGATGCTGGCCCTAGGGGCATGGGAGGAAATGAGACTTCAGGGCTTTCTGGAGGGTAGGACTTCTGGACTTGTGATTTGGGGTGTGTGTTTCCCAGGGAGGGGCTGGCTCATCCTACTGCAAGAGAAAGGCCAGGGACTGATGTATGGAAACCCTACCCTGATAGCCTTGTCTCATAGTCAGGCCCAGCAAGGACAAGACATAAGGTTAGGAGGTGAGAGCCCAACAGAGAGACCCCACACCCAGATTTGTTTTTTAGCCCCTTTAGAGAACCAGGAGAAGCAAGAGAGACAGTGGTGAGGCCCACTGGGCCCCTCACTGCTGTGTGGATCTGCACAAGGCTCTGCCATCTCTGGACCGCTCTAATCCTTCAAATTCCTAGGGCATGGTCCTTGTCCAGTGGCCATGCATGCCTTCTAGCTGACAGGTCTCCCATTGGCCCATGTCTCTCCTCTGGATGAGCTTCTTGCAAGTACCAAGTGCTTGGGCCCTCCCACTGCACCTGTGGCATTGGTTGGTTTCTTCCTTTTGTGTTCCCTAGGCTTGACATGGTGCCTGCCCACCAAAGGCCACAAATAGGAGGGAGACCTGGAGGTTGCTTCTTTACAGACAAGGAAAGAAGACCCCAAAGAAGTAGGAAGGTGACAGGAGGTGTCCAGTGTCCCAGATACCCTCACCTGATGGCCTCAATCCACTGGTCGCGCTCTTCGGCATTGGCAGCTGAGATGCGGTAGGACTCATGCTTTCCTTCCACCACTTTGCCGTCCCCATCAGTCTTGCATGCTTTTATCTTCTGGCCCCGGCAGCTGGGGTTGTACAGCTCCAGGCAGAACTGTGGGAGGTGCCAGGTGAGGGGAAGGTCAGGGGATAGGCTAGGCTGCTGCTGGGGTGGGGAGGGAGTCACAGAGGCAAGAGCAGCACTCTCACAGAAGGCCCTGCCCAACAGCTCACGGGGGAGATGACACCAGGCACCAACCATGTACCAGGATCCCAACATCCCATGTAACAGATGGGGGAAACAAGGCTCAGAAAGAGCTGTGACTTAGAAGTCTCCCAACTAACCAAGTTCCACAAGACAACTGAGCCCTTTCAATGACACTGACCATCCTGGATCCATAGCTCCTGGAGAGACCCTACAGAGTGGCCCAGACTCATGGAGGGTCCCATGCAGGCACCTTTCCTCAACTGTGCTGGGAATCCCCAGCTGGACTCTCACCTGCTTCTTGGGGTCATCCACTTTCTGCACGGACAGGTTCTCCAGAGGGATGATCCCCCGAGGCTCCTTGTCCTAAGGAAATGAAGTCAATGACAGGAAATGTGAGCTTGTGGCCTCCCCAGACCATCTGTCCAGACAGCCCAGTCACAGACTGACACTGTGCTAGCACCATGTTTGAGATCTGGGAGACCTGATTAAACTTTTTTTTTTTTTTTTTTTGGTTTTCCGAGACAGGGTTTCTCTGTGTAGCTTTGGAGCCTATCCTGGCACTCTCTCTGTAGACCTGCCTGGCCTCGAACTCACAGAGATCCACCTGCCTCTGCCTCCCGAGTGCTGGGATTAAAGGTGTGTGCCCCCAACGCCCGACCCTTTTTTTTTTTTCTAATTTTTATTGTATGTGTATGGGTACTTAGCCTGAATGCATTAAGGGCATCACATGCATACAATGCCCACAATGACCAGAAGTGGGCGACAGATGCCCCAGCACTAGAATTACAGACAATTGTGAACTGCCATGTAGGTGCTGAGAATTGAACCCAGGTCCTCTGGAAAAGCAGCCAGTGCTTTT